TGTCTTTATTTCTTCCCTTGTACTTTAGCTTCTTGGTTTTCTAGTGCAATATTCAGAGTCTCTTCTGACATCTATTTTTGTCTTTTCTTCTTCCTCCATCTTTGTAATGACATTTTGCATTCTCATGGATGAGATTCTTGATATTTCTCCACAGATCATCTGATCTTAACTCATTATTCCTCAGATATAGACTCAAAGTCAAACTTTAGTTCTTGTGGATTTGTTTTTATTTTCTTTAGCTTCAATTTTAACTTGCTTACGAGTAGTTGGTGATCTGATCCACAATCAGCACCTGGCCTAGTTTTCACAGCTGATATTGAGCTTCTTCAATAATTTTTCTCACAGGTGTAATAATCTGATTCCTTTGTAGGCCATCACGTGAGGTCCATGTGTATAGTTGCCGTTTGTGTTTTTATAAAAGGTATTTGCAATGACTAAATCATTAATTGTACAGACTTCTATCATTCTGTATCCAGCCTAATTTTTATCACCAAGTCTGTTTCCTAAATACCAACCTTCTTCCTTTCTTCTCCCCAACTTTTGCTTTCCAGTCATCCATTATTATTAGTGTATCCTGGTTGCATGTTCATTTAACAGTTGGTAGAAGTCATCTATTTCCTCATCTTTGGCTCTGGTTGTTGGTGCATAAATTTGAATGATAGTGGTACTAACAGGTCTTCTTGTATACATATGGATACTATCCTGTAACTCACAACATTGTGTCTCAAGATGGATCTAGAAAAGGTCTTTTAAAATATGACAAAGACCCCTTTTCTTCTCACCCTTTCATTTCCAGCATAGTAGATAATATGATTATCTGCTTTAAAATGTCCCATGCCAATCTATTTCATTTCACCAATTTCTAGTATTTCAATATTAATGTATTCCATTTCTTCTTTAATAATCTCCATATTTTCTAAATTCATACTTCTCACAATCCACATTCCAATCACTAGGGTCTGTCTGCAACAGTTGCTCTCCTTTTGTGATTTCCTATATGAAGTCTCAGCCTCTGGTACCATACCTGCCAGTCTAATCTAAGTACGCTCTATTATACATAGGATTTTCAATGGCCTTTTGTTTCAGAAGTGGATGGCCAGTTCCTCTCCCTGGTCTGTCTCAATTTAGGTGCTTGGCTTTAGAGCAATATTTGACAGACAAGCATTTTACCCAAAAGAGCTGATGAGAGTATATATGTAACGGACCCAGTGTTGGTCACGGGGGCCCACACCTTTGGTGCATGTATTGTGGTCCCACCTTCACCCCGTGCTGCCAACATCCAGCTCATTTCCTTCTCCTTGTCCATCCAGCATCTGCTATCTTCTGCCCCCATCAACTCTGGGAGACTCAGGTCTCCCACCACCTGTGGCCTCCCATTTCCACTCCACTCCTCTGTGATATTTGTGCTCCTCAGTTATATCCAAGCAGCCATCATTGAGCATGAACACTGTGATTTTCTTGCTGTTCTTGATAAGGTGGACTCTGATGCACTTTCTGATGGCAGAATTTGCCTACTTGGCCTCAACACTCACTTTTTCCAACACAATGCCCTCTGCATGAGACGTGCCTCCTAAAGAGCTGGCCTTCAGGCTTTACCCAAACAGGCTTGTTTATACTGTTTATTTGCATCTTCTAGTCAGTTTATGAGTCCACAGCTTCCTAGCAGTGTGAAGACCTCGACACCTGCCTCTCTTGGTGTGTCAATGGGTCTCAAGGAAAGAGGGTCGGTCTCTCTACATTCTATTGCAAGTTTCAGAGTCTCTTCTGACATCTATTTTGGTCTTTACTTCCTGTCTTTGTAATGACCTTTTGCTTTTGTCATGGATGATATTCTTGATGTCATCCTACAATTCATCTGATCTTCACTCATTAGTATTCATTGTCTTAAATATATTCCCTTTTTAATATTTTTTCTTGTTATTTTAACAAAAGTTTACAGAAAACTTGGATTTCTGTTCATTGATTGTTACACATTTTCATCCTTACCCCCGGCCCTAGTTTGCTTTTTTCTTTAAACCATTCATTGTTGCACAGTTTCCCCACCCCCACCCCCACTCCAGTCCACTTTGCTATGCACCTCTTATTCTGGACTGTAGTCATACAAATAATGCCTAATCATATATTCCTTTTAAACTGTTAAAAAAGGGGATAAATAATAAACACTGCATTGGAACAGATGAAGGAAAGAACTGTTTAAATCTGTTCTTGAGATGCTTTTTAAATTCATCTCAAGAATAGCCTCAAAGACATTTTGAACCTCAAATTTGTTTATTTTTTTTTTCAGCTTAGTTTTGAACTTTCCCATCAGTAAATTGATGGGTTTTTTCCACAGCCAGCCCTTGGCCTCATTTTAACTGTGGCTATGAAGCTTCTCCATGAACTCTTTCCACAGATATAGCAAACTGGTTTTTGTATGGTTTATCAAGTGAGGTCTACCATCTATATTTTTTAAAAAAGATACTTGGGATTTTTGTGTTTTGTTTTTTAAATTTTATTTTATTAATCTTAATGAACATTTACAGAGATTTTGGATTTCCATCCAGTCATTGTTGCACTATTTTCTCTGCAAACCCCACCCCCCAGTTCGTCCCTCTCTTTTTTTTTTCCTTGAAAGTCTGTTTTAATTGTTCCATTGCCACAGTGCTTGCCAAACTTAGTTCTGATTAATCTTGTTTGTCAGTGTGTCCTTTGCCATTCTCTATCACTCCTCCCTGAGAGAGACTTCACCCTGATTTATAAGGAAAAGGGGATGGTGTATTCTCTTAGCTACTTCCTGCTGGAAAGGGATGCTATATGTTTCAGGGTGGAGATCTTCTCTCACTACTCTAAAGGGCCCCTTTGGCAATAGGAGACACATAGACTACTGTGGAGATTGATTTTGAAATTTAGATGCACTGTTATCAATTGTGTTTAGCCATACATATTCATATCCTTGAAGATGTATCATGGAAGTGTTGCAGCCCAGAAGACACAAATTTAACTAACAAGTTAAAAGTACATGAGTCAAAAATTAAAAGCAATATTATTTCAAGTAGAGGTTCTAACAGTGGCACAAATTACAGAGAGAAGGTAGTTCTTAAAATAAAAGGCTTACTGACTAGCACTTTGTCTATTATAGTGTAAAGGTTAGGAACCACAAGATGTAGAGGCTCAACTATGTCACTTATTGTTAAGTCCTGGACCAGATTCCATCTACCACTGGGTTGTTTTACAGCTCGGAAGTCCTCATGCAAGGCAGAGGTGAAGTAAGGAACTGCTTATGAGGTTTTCTGTCAATTCCAACAACTAAGGAGTAGTGAGAAGAGTTGGGACCCCAGAAGGCTTTTAGGACCAAATAGTAGGCTCTTGTGTCCAGAAGAAAATGAATATACTTACCAGTAATGTTAATGCTCACCCACAGCTCTTCTGGGAGGATCTGAATCATTGAAGTGAAAAAAAGATATTTGTAATGAAAAGTCATTGGTTGTACAAAATGCTGTCATTTGAGAATGGTAGAGATTGTGAAGATGGTACAGTGTACCAGCAAAGTTCTCGTCTGTTGTTCATGGGGTCCTTCCAAATTGTTGTAGACTTGACAGCACATAACAACAAGAACACAAAATATGTAATTTTCTGTGTTATATGATTATTGTTTCACTTTTATAATAAGAATTCTAAAACCTAATACACTATACTCTGTATGTAGCTAAAGTTGATCATTTCCATTTTACGATGGAATTATTATTTACTCTATTACGGTTTTGGAGAGGATGTAGCCAGAGTGTTCCTTGGAGACAAAAATTATAAAGCTTCATTTCACATGTTTTGGGCATATTGTTAGGAGAGGCTATGCCTTGGAAAGGGACATCATGTTTGGAAAGGTGAATGCACAGCTAAAGAAAGAAAAATCTTCAACCACAGGGATTGACACAGTGATTACAGCAATGGGCTCAAGTACCGCACAGGATAGGATAGAGTTCAGATATGTTGTTCATAGAGGGTCACTGTGGGTTGTAGTTGACTCAATAGCACCTAACAACAACAACTGTTAGCGTTTTACAATTCTTTACCCATAGTAGTTTATATGAAGTGTATTGCTGCCTTCAAAGGTTTTTCCTATTCTTTATAATATAGATCTTCAGTCTAACACCAAAAAAATGTCTTCTATCTCAAGTTTCACAGTTTACAGTGACAAAAAGAAACAAGTGAGATCTTTAAGCAATTCTTTTTTTAAGCAATTTTTTTCCTTTCTATCCCTGAAATATTTTTCTTTTGGAGAGATCTCCTATTATTTTATTTTTTCCTCAGATAATATTATCACTTAATTAAATGATAATTCATAATTATCTACTCCTCTGAGATTGTGTTTGTGTAAATTTATAATGCCTCTGCTTTGTGTTTTAGATTACTCACAACTAACTGATGGAAAAATAGAAAATTCATAAAGATGGACAAAGTGGTCACTCTTTTATTTTGTAAGTAACCACTCACTGTACATTCTTTCCAGGATTCATTAATGCCCTCATGATCATTAAAACATTGAAAGACTTTAGCAACAAATAAAATGGGTTGTTAATTGGAGAATGGGGGAAAGAAAGATAAGGAAGCATTTAGGAAAAGTAGTTTCCATGAATGGCTAGCGCTGGTTAGTACTATGGTTAGGCTGGTGGCCTGGTGGCAAGAAGCTGCACTGCAATCCCAAAGGCACGCAGTTCAAATCCACCAGCTGCTCTGTGGAAGGACTGGCAATCTTCTCTTCTGCTCTGAAACTGCCTCTGAAAACCCTCCAGAGGGTCAGGTATGGGTCAATTCCAACTCGACCATACACAATACAACAGTGCTGTTATCAAAGATTTATATTTAAATATATATTTTTTTCTTTGCATTATATGTGTATGTTTTTGTTTGTTTGTTTGTTTAAGGAATGACCTTTCCTTTTGTGCTGCCTCCAGAATAGCAACTTCTACATGGATGTTTCCTCCTTCCACAATTCAAAAGACCTTTGATAACTAAAGAAGAAAATGCAGAAGATCTTGCAAACAGATGAAATTGCCAATACTGAAGTTTTTAGGAAAGGAAAGAGGAAAAGGACAGAGACGATGGACTCAGAGAATGCAAATAGTGACATGAGTAAAGGACAGGTTGGTTTTCTTTATCTTGGTATTATTTTATTAGCCAACTCAACCATCAACTATAATGACTTGAATAACTTTTTCATTCTTTCTTCTATTTATATAGCCTTTTATTTATATTTTATTTAACCAACAGCTTATCATTTCATATTCCCCTTTGAATGTTAATATATTCAATTAGAAACTATTCAATAACAATTTTCAATAATTACATAATGTACAAATTATTCACCAGTTTACCTGCTCTTATTCAAGTATGAGAATCCTTGAGTGGCACAAACAGTTAAACACTTCACGGCTAATTGGAGAGTTAGTCGTTTGAATCCACTCAGGTATACCTCGGGGAAAATGGTCCTAGAGATCTGTTGTTGTTGTTGTTTGATGCCATCGAGTCGTAGACGACTCATAGCGACCCTATGAATGAACAGCCTGAGCACTGTTAGTACATAGAGTTTCCAGAGGCAAGCCATTTCAGAAGTGGATGCCGCTCCTGCTTCCAGGCTTGAGTTAGTCGGGAAGCTCCAGCCAACACTGTCCACCATGGTACCCATTACCACGATTGGCACATCACTATCACAGGCTTCAGCATCACAGCAAGCACGAGTTACCTCTGTACAGCAACGCACAGACCGGTGCTATACCACCTAGAAGAATGTTTGACAGGAAAACAATTTGAACCTGGCCCAAGGGCCTCCTGGTTCAAACCCTGGGCCCAGGCTGGCTAGCCTCAGTCCCGGGGGCAGAGCAAACCTGTACGTCAAACACATGCCCAGAAAAGCAGTCAACTCCAAAAGCTTGCCACGATTCCTGCGCTCACACCACCATCCTCCTTCCTTCTGGCAAGGAGAACTTCCCAAGACCCTGGGAGGAGCCAGCCAACCAGGAAAAACATGGCTGCTTCCTCTCCTCTCCTCTCCTCTCCTCTCCCAGCTGCCTTTGTCCTTAAGGCTGCCTCCTAGTTCAAACCCTAGGCCCAGGCTGGCTAGCCTCAGTCCCGGGGGCAGAGCAAACCTGCACGTCAAACACATGCCCGGAAAAGCAGTCGATTCCAAAAGCTTGCCACGATTACTGCGCTCACACCACCATGCTCCTTTCTTTTGGCAAGGAGAACTTTCCCCCTAGAGATCTACTTTTGCAAAAATCAACTAGCAAAAATCCTGTGAAGCATAGTTCTTCTCTGACAATGATGGAGTCATCATAAGTTGGAATCAACACAAAGACAACAGTGAGTCAAAACCAAACCCATTGCCATCTAGTCAATTCCGATTCATAGTGATACTCCATCAAGCTTCCATAGTTGTAAAGCTTTTGGGGAGGAGATTGCCCATCTTTCCTCTATGGAGTGGTTGGTGTATTCCGACTGCTGAGCTTTTTCAATTAGCAGCCTGACATGTTACCACCAGGACTCTGATAGGCACATGCATACAGCCATACTTATTACAAATTTGGTTCCCCATGCGCGGAAATCGTTCCAGGGATGTGCAGAGGGGAATACAGAGGAATCCTATCGGTTGGAGTAGTGGGCCAACACAAAGGCTACTTGAGAAAACTCCGCCCTGCCCCACAGGTAAACAAGAAGACCCAAGGCAGCAGGGCAGCTGGCAGCCGGGAATACTACAGTAAAGGAAATATTGCAATTGACCAAGCCACAATTTGTTTGTTACTCAATGCATAAATAAAGATAAAGTAGCAGTAAGAAAGAATTTTAAATATTGTCAGAATTACCAAAATGTGATACTGAGACAAGAAATAACATGCCATGGAAAAAAATGGCATCAGTAGACTTGCTTGACACAGAGTTGGTACAAAAATGAATCTGGGCAAAACACATTATCTGTTAAGCGCAAAAAAGAGAGGTATGCCAACATAAAATTATTTATGCCTATATGTAGTCATTAGTATTACAGTTATATATACATGTTGAACATATTTTCATATGCTTTTTGGACATTCATATCTTTTCTGTTAAGGATCTTTTCAAGTCTTTTGCTCACTTTTTAATTGAGTTATCCTATTAATATTTTATTTTTAGTGAAAATATATGCAATAACATCTGCTCCCATTCAATAGGATCTAGACATAATAATTATAGACATTGCTTATATTCATAGTCCTTCTTTTTATTCCTGTTCTAATTATTTCAATTCCATTAATTTAAATTCCCCCCAACTTTCTTATCTTTGTTGTAGAATACCAACTGTACATTTGGTCTTATATGGATAATATTTTTTTTAATTATTATTAAATTTTATTAGTTTCAATGAACATTCACAGGGATTCTGGGCTTTCACTCCTTCATTGCCGCACCATTCTCTCCACCCTCCTTCCCAGTTTGTTCTTCTTCCCCGCCATCCGAATGTCTGTTTTAATTGTCCAATTGCCACAGTGCTTGTCAAAGTCAGTTCTGATTAATCTCCTTTGTCGGTGTGTCCTTTGCCATTCTCTATCACTCCTCCCTGAGAGAGACTTCACCGTGATTCATAAGGAAAAGGGGATGGTGTATTCTTTTAGCTACTTCCTGCTGAAAAGGGACGCTGTGGGTTTCAGGGTGAAGATCTTCTCTCACTACTCTAAAGGGCCCCTTTGGCAGTAGGAAACACATAGACTATTATGGAGATTGATTTTGGAATTTAGATGCACCCTTATTGATTGTGCTTGGCCGTACATGTTCATATCCTTGAAGATGTATCATGGGGGTGTTGCAACCTAGAAGACACAAATCTGACTAACCGCACACAACAAGATAAAGGTAAATAATCCAATAGAAAAATGGGCACAGGATATGAACAGGCACTTCACCGAAGACGACATTCAGATGGCTAACAAGCACATGAAGAAATGCTCAAAATCCCTAGCCCTAAGAGAGATGCAAATTAAAACAACTATGAGATATCATCTCACCCCAGTCAAAATAGCAAAATTTAACAGAACATCAAGCAACAAATGCTGGCGAGGTTGTGGAGAAACTGGAACCCTGATTCACTGTTGGTGGGAGTGTAAAATGGTGCAACCCCTGTGGAAAGCAGTATGGCGCTTTCTCAAAAAGTTGCAAATAGAGATACCATTTGGCCCAGCAATTCCACTACTGGGAATATACCCTGAAGAGACCATAGCTGACATCCAAGCAGATATATGCACACCCATGTTTATTGCAGCTTTGTTCACAATAGCAAGGAGTTGGAAACAACCTAAGTGTCCATCAACGAACGAATGGCTAGAGAAACTGTGGTATATTCGCACAATGGAATACTATGCTGCATTAAAAAATAAGGAACTCATGCAATATTATTCAAAATGGTTGACTCTGGAGAACATTATGCTGAGTGAAATATCCCAGTCACAAAAGGACAAATATTACATGATGCCACTGTTGTAGAATGGGACTGTCCTTGGGGTTGGGGAGAGACTGAGTAAGATGGGTTCAATAATGTATACTGCACTGAAACAGAGGAGGGAGAAAACTGTTTAAAAGAGATATATGACTAGGTATTTCTGTCATCACAGGAGTCTAGAGCGAGGGCTACATGGTGAAGGGGACCTGGGAGAGGGTTTGTAAAACAATGAAAGAATCCTTTCTTTTACTTTTCCATAATTTTTGACTCATGTACTTATAACTTGGATAATATTTTTTAAAAAGAACATAATATTCAAGGGTGACAATATTTTTTTATTTTTTAATTAAATATTAATTAGTTTAAAGTTGACTTGATTCAAGTTTTGAAAAGCAATAATCTTAGGAACTTTTCTAACCATGGTAAATCTAATAAGTCTTAATACATTTTTCTCCTTTCCTATCAGGATGCATCTATTGTGTCCCTGTTCTGAATGATCAATAACTTTGCATCATCTAGTTCTGGTCGCAAGATCAAGCAGGCAATCGTTCATGGAGACAAATCAGTATTTTCTCCGATTCTTGGGTTTCTTTACTCCTCTTTTGTTCTAGGTGAACAAAGACCAATAGTTGTGTTTTAAGTGGCTGCTTGTAAGCTTTTTAGACCTCGGGAACTATTCATGTACTGGGAAACAGAACATAAATTTATAAACTGTATTATTTATGCCAATTTTCTGAATTGTCCCAAACTAAACTCCTAAACCAAGTCAAAAGAATAAGTTTCCTGAAGTGACTGGTTATATTTAAGTAGCATCATAATATATAGCCCCTCACCCAAAATGGTTGGTGCTATTCTTAAAAAATTATATCTAACATTTTTAATTCATCCCTTTGTATACGGCTTATTGACATCAATTACATTAATCGAACAGGGCAAACTTCGCCCACATCTGGTGCCACCAGTCTCATCACTATCAATGAAAAGTGACTACCTCTTAAAAAATGCTTTGTCTCTCTCTCTTTCTCTCTCTCTCTCTCTCTCTCTCTCTAATACTCCCACCCTTGGTAACCACCAGTGAGCACTGGTCTCTGTCTATTTACTTCTCCTTGTCATAAGCAGCTCTGGTGTCCTAGTCTGTAGAGTGCTGCAGTGCTAGCCAAAAGGCTACATCTTCAGTGGTTCAAATCCAAAAGCTGCTACGCTGGAGAAAGTTGAGCAGACCCCTCTATTAGAACGTACAGCTTCAGAATCCCAATGCACGGTCAGTCGCTAGGAGTCATAACCAACCTGATGGCAGTGTATGAGTGAGTGTCATTTCATAAAAGTGAAAACAGATCTCATTTGTCCTTTGCTTATTTTGCTTAGCATACTCTCCTCCAGGATCATCTGTTTTTGTAAGCTGCTTTTCCTTATGATTGTCATTTTCCCTTATGACTGAGTGGTATTCCTTTTATTACTAATATATGTGCATGCTACATTTGCTTATCCATTTAGGTTGTTTCCATCATTTTCTCTCGTCGGTAGTATTGCAAGTAACACTTCGATTCCTTGGACTGGAATTGCTGAGCCATATGGTAGTTGATCTTTTTAATTTAAGGCTTTTTGTGTATAAACATGACAATATTCTCTTCATCAATTTAGATTTTCTTTTCAGGCTTTCAATAAAATTTTATGGCTTCCTGTATAAATATCTTGCTTATCTTTTGTTACATGACGGCTATTGACAGCTGTTCTCAAAATAGAGATGAAATGTAAATGCAAAATACTTAGATTCTAAGATTAGAAATTATTAGAGTAAATAAACATTCACTTTCAGCTGACAGTTTTAGAAATATTTTATTAAAGAATGATATATATATCCTAAGTGTACACATTGATGAATTGTCACAAAACACGGCTAGATCAAGGCAAAGAACCTCCCAGAAGCTGCCATCATTGTTCCTCCCAGGCTCCACCCCCCTATTCCTCCCCTTTAGTCACCACTGTCCTGGCTTAATAAATGGTAGCCTCTTGAACCCTATATTGCTCATTGTTTGTTGCTAGTATATAGAAACAACTACTTTTTGTATCTTGGTTTCTAGCCTTCCCTTTGCTAAACCCTCCTATTTTATGAAATATTTTGAATGTTAAGGATCCCTCTCAAGATCAGAGAAAGCCCAGATTTGAATGGTGATCCTGTTGATGCTACTCTATTATGCTATTTTCCCAATTGATCTTTGTTACTGAAGTAAAGTAGAAAGTGAGGTACAGATGCATGAACTTTTGCTATTCCTCCTTTATCTTGAGACCCTCTGGATGGTGGAGACAAATTTGGCCTAGATTAATCAGTAAAGGCCTGGTTCCTTTCCTGGTGCCAGAAGTGTCTGGAAGAAGGGCGTTTGTCACTCTGATTAAGTCCTTTCAGTTCACAAAACATGGACTAACAAAAACAACAAGGGGTGGGGGGACCCATGGACTAAGCCATTACCATTACTCTGAAATGTCTTTTGTTATGCCTGCCTTGCCTTTTAGAGAGATCCATTTTCAGGAAATGCTTTCCTGCCAGGCGAGAGCTCCAGTGAAGATGAAGAGCCTTTAGAAGAATTATCGAAGGAGGAGTTGTGTGCCAAAATAAAAAGCCTGAAACAAAAACTTACAAACACACGGAAAGAAAATAGCCGTCTTCGACAGTCTTTGGTCATGCTGCAAGGTAAATGTTGAAATATTTTTACATTTTAGACAAAAGGGAAGGGAGCTTTGCTGGCTTAGTGGTAAAAAGTTGCACTGCAATCCCAAACAGACGCTTTGCAGGAGAAAAATGGGCAATCTCCTCTCAGGTGATTTACTTCTGAAAATCTGCTGGAGGGTGAGCTATGAGGAATCAATGGAACAGAATGGCAGTAAATCAAAAGGCAAAGTATGTGATGAGTGAAAAGTATTACAAATCATGTCAACACTGAAAAAGAAAATGGGCACCTTAGGTAACTCAGAGTTCACATTTTAAGAAAAATCACAGGATTACATAATTTAATACAGAAACACTCTTTTGAAGCATTGAGTTTATTGTTTAGGAAATCCTAGATTGTTCCTATAAGACAGTCTACACTCATTTGGCAATATTAAACAGATATTTACTGAACATTTAATATAATTCATTCACTGTGCTAGAATATAAAGAATAAAGATTGTAAAATAGAGTGTATAAGAAACTGGTGATGTGCTTATGTCATTCTCCTCTGATAGTAAAAGCTCTAAATATGAAATTCATCATAATCCATTATGGAACCAATAGGACTGGTAATCCATTCATTGCATTTTAGGGTATATTGTGAGGCGTAATTCAGGAAAATAATTTCCTTTTTGGAGAAAAATGGGAGAAGGAAGATCAGCCTAAGGAAATTAGACATCACGTTGCATAATATCATTTTGTAAGCCCCAGTGCTTAGGGAGCTCTGGTGGCCTAGTTGGCAGGAGCTGTGCTGCAATCCCTAAGGCACACAGTTCAAGACCACCAGCTGCTCCACAGGAGAAGGATGGGTAACCTCATCCTGTGCAATGAACTGCCTCAGGAAACCCCCTGGAGGAAGGGTCAGCTATGGGTCGGTTCCAACTATATGGTACACAACACACACAGCGTTGTGTACACAGTGCTTAAGTGTTTGTTTTTAAAAATGCACTATTTCCATTCCTAGTTAAGCACCATGCACTATTTTGTATAGATGAGTATGCCTTTGAATTGTGGGATTGGTAAAGAATTCTGAATAAACCATGTCTTGACAAAAGAACAGATCTGTCTTGGAAGAAGTACAGCCAATATACTCCTTAGAGGCAAGGATAGTAAGGATTTGTCTCACATACTTTGGGCATGTTATCCAGAGGCCAGTCCCGAGAGAAGGAAGTCATACTTGGCAAAGTAGAGAGTTGGTGAAGAGAAGTACACCATCAAGGAGATGGATTGAACGGAGACACAGCAGAGATTGTGAGAATGGCACAGGATTGGGTGAGGTGTGGTTCTGTTGTGCATAGTGTTGCTATCAATTTGTATCAAATAGATGGCTCCCAACAACTTGTGCTTGTACGCTCCACTTTCTCTCCTACTACTCATGGATAAACTATCCCTCTTCCTAGCCAAAGATAATCTCTCCACACAGGTAATGAATTCTTTCCTCCTTTGCCTAATGTAGAACATTACTCTAGCAATTCTCCCTATTTCCTGTGTGATCAAGTTTTCCTTCAGTAATGAATTATTCCCATTAGTTTAAAATATACTACTATTACTACTTCAACTTTCTTGATTTCTTCCCTAAGCTTTGGTTCTTAACACTCTAGTGCAGTATTCAGAGTCTTGTCTGACATCCATCTTGGTCTTTTCTTCCTCCTCTGTCTTTATAATGTCCTTTTGCATTCTTCATGGATGACGTTCTTGATATCCTCCAACAGTTCATCTGGGCTTCGCACATTAGTGTTTACGGCCTCAACTCTGTTCATGAGATGGTTTTGAAATTCAAGTGGGATAGACTCAAGGTCAAATTTTAGTTCCTGTGGATTTGATTTAACCTTACAGCTTGAACTTGCATATGAGTAATTGGTGATCTGTTCCATAATCAGCACCTGGCCTAGTTTTCACAGCTAATATTCACCTTCTCTAGCGATTCCCCCCCACAGATGTAATCAATCTGATTGTTATGCATACCATCAGGTGAAATCCATGTGTATAGTCTGCATTTATGTTTCTTATAAAAAGTTTTTGCAATGAATAAATCACTTATTTTAGAGAATTCTATCATTCTATCTCCAGCCTCATTTCTATCACCAAGCCCATGTTTTCCAGCTACTGATCCTTGGGTTGAAGCTCAACATGAAGAAAACAAAGATTTTCACCACTTGACTGATTTGCAGCAGAATGATAGATAGATGGTGAAGAGATTGAGATTGTTAACAGCTTCAGTTTGTATGGCTCCACAAACAACACTTTTGATATTGTTGTTGTTGTTTTGTGCCATCAAGTCTCTTGCAACTCATAGCAACCCTATTTACAACAGCTCTAAATCCTGCTCTGTCTTGTGCCAATCTCACTGTCTCTGACACATCCACTCTGATTACCCTAGTCACTGAATCAATCCTCCTCATAGAGGGTCTTCCCCTCCTGCACTGTCCCTCTACCCTCTCAAGAATGACATCCCTCTCCAAGGACTGGTCCCTCCTTGCAACATGTCCAAAGTATGTCAGATGAAGCCTCGGAATCCTGGCTTCCAAGGAGCAGCCTGCTTTAACCCTTTCAAGGGTGAACCTGTTTGTTTTCTTAGCAGTCCATGGTACATTCAATAGTCTTCTCCAACACCACAGCTCAAAGGCATCAATTCTCCTTCTATACTCCCTAGTCATTATCCAGCTCTGTAATGCATAACAACTGATTGCAAAGACCATGGCCTATAGCAGGCACACCTTAGTCTCCAGAATGACACCATTGCTCTTCAGTATTTTGGAGAGGTCCCTAACAGCAGACCTTCCCATTGCAATATGTCTTGTAATTTCCTGGCTGCTGGTGCCAAGAGTGTTAACTGTAGAGCCAAGCAAACTAAAGCCATGAACAATCTCAATCTGTTCACCATCCATCCCGATGCTGCCAATTGGTCCAGGGGTGAGAATCTTTGTCTTCTCGATATTGAGCCTTAATCCATATTGAAGGCTGCAGTTCTTGACCCTCTGCAGCAAGCGCTTCAGGTCCTCCTCCGTTTCAGCAAGCAAAGCAAGGTTATGTCATCTGGATAACGCAGATTGTTAATGGATCTTCCACCAATTCTGATGCCACACTTCTCATAGAGCCCAGTCTCCTGGATAATCTGTTCTGCATATAGGTTGAAAAGGTATGGAGATAGGACACATCCTTGGCATCCACCCTTCCCAATTTTGAACTCTGCAGCTAAGAAATAAAAAGACAAATTGCACTGGGAAAATCTGCTGTCAGGGATTACTCCAGAGTCCTAAAGACCAACAATGTCAGTCTAGAAACTAAGTTGTGCCTGATCCAGGCCATGGTCTTCAGTATTACATGCTATGCATCAGAAAGCTGGACAATGACTAGGGATGATAGAAGGAGAATTGATGCCTTTGAGCTGTGGTGCTGGAAGAGTACTGAATATACCATGGACTGCTAGAAGAACGAACAGGTTCATCCTAGACAGTGTGAAATCAGGCTCTTCCTTGGAGGTAAGGATTCTGTAATTCCATCTGACATACGTTGGGCATGTTGCAAGGACAGACCAGTCCTTGGAGAGGGACATCATGATTGGGATGATGAAGGGACAGCACAAGAGAGAAAGACCCTCAATGAGATGGATTGACTCAGTGACTGGGGTATTGGGGGCAGGTGTGTCAAAGACAATGAAGTTGGCTCAGAGTAGAGCAAGGTTCAGAGATGTTGAACCTAAGGTCACTATGAGTCACAAGTGACTCGACAGCATATAACAACAAGAACTACATCTACATAAAAGGAAGCTCAGGTGGCCTAGTCCATAGGGAGATGTGCTGCTAACCAAAGGTGCATCTGTCTCTCTGGGAGTCTCAGCAACTCCATGTGAGAAGACGGACAGTCTCCTCCCATGCAATTTACAGCCTTCAAAAATCTGCTGGAGGGTCAGCTGCGAGTTGGTTCTGACTTTATGGCAGTAAGTCTGGGCCTTTTTTAAAAAGACTGGGTCTTTTTTAAGAAAAGAGACTGTGTCTATTTAAAAGAAATCCTGGTGGAACTGTAGGTACATTTGATTATTCATTTGATTTCTGGGAGTGCATTTACCAGTTTACCTTTTACATTGCTCATATTTTCATCTCAGTTTATTTAGCTAATTCTTCTCATAGTCTCACCCATGAAATATTTGATAATGTTCCGGCTCAGTCCTTAGATACCTTTCTTTGCTATCTCTGTTCTGTATCTAATTGTATGTTGTTAAAAATCCATCAGTAACTGTTGATTCTAAAATATATGTTTGATGTATATATTGCCTCTACCTTTCCCTTAAACACAAAACTACTAACTGGATATTTGACAGACTCCAGTTTGGAGGCCATGTGTGAAGCGGTTGGATTCTGGAAGGTGGTTCTGGTTGAGTGTGATCTTGTTGAGTGTTGTTTTTATTTTGTTCACAACAGTGTGTGAGCCGATCAGATTTGCTGGATTTTGCTAACAATAAGCTGTGGGCTGGAAGCCTCTTGTTTAGAGCCAGTCAGAACCTGGGGGGTGGACCTGTGTATTTAAAAGTCAGTTGGTGTTAATTGTTTTGGGAATGAACATTCTTCTAAGTGGTACAGTACTGGTCTGTCAATTTACTGTACTGAAGTAATTTAGGGCAGCTGTAATGCTGAATGCTATGCCACTGGTGTGCCAAATGCCATAATGTTTACCAGTGATCGACAGTGTTTGGTGGAACTCCCAGGTTAAGAAAAGCTTAGAAGCAGAAGCAGGAATTTTATCTACTTCCCAAACAACATGTTTCTAGAAACTCTGTGAACTCTGAGAAATTACAATAATTATAGAACAGGGTTCACATCTTTTGTTTATAAGGTTGCTACGCATCATGCTTGACTTGATGGCACATAACAACAACAACAATAGAAGTCTTGGACTAACCTACTTTAAACCACATTTCTGACTACCCTCAGCCTATTTCTCTCTCTTGTCCTCATCTTGGTTAATGATAATTTTATCATTCC